AAGGACACCAAGATAAGCACAGCACGCGGACAGCCATTGGTCTTTTTTGCCCGGGTCGTAAAGCAAAAGACGTGCTTGCACCATGTGAGCTTATTTTCTGGAGCAAAAATTTACGGCCGTGTGCCTCGATGTAGAGGACAAGGTCGTTTTTCTTCCACGTGTGCTATGGTATGTTTTGCAAAAGAAAGGAGAAAAGAAAACACGCAACCGACCGAAGCTTTTGCTCATGTTTTCAGACGGGCAAGCAGTGTAAAAACCAGCATTTTGTTTCTCTGAGATTTTATATTATATAGGCTCTAAACAGGCTTTAAAAGAATTTGGGGGCCGAACAGCGAAAGTGAGAAAAATGTGATTGAGATACATTTTTTGCCTTTCGCCTGCAGAGATTCTATTCGTATAGGGGCTCTCAAAATATGGCTGTTAAAATAATAGTTAACAATAAATGCGTAGTAGGCTACGCGTTCACAAAGAAAATCAGGTTGGATTCATACCAACTAACAAAAACTAAGTGCAACTCTTTACCGCTCCATCGCGTATAAATGCTGTGATGCTTTACGAAGAGGAGCAATCAATAAATCAATGGGAACATAACGTCTGCGTTGTGTGGACACATTTCAGTATTGAAAGACGTGGGCTCATTGTGTAAGTGTTGTGCTATGTACCGATGTAGCCTTATTGTGTCGGCTACCAAATATGCGATGTTGACTTCTGGGCAAGAGAAGAGTTGTTGGCACCAACCTCTCCTTACATACATTTAATTAAAAAAAAAACGTCAGAACGTCACGAGTTTCGTTCTCGGTAATGCGTTTTATTTGGTTCTTTTTTGTTCTTTTCTAATCAACATCCTATTTCAATTGTATTTTCTTGTAAATAAATCTTTTCTTTACTATGTATACTACAGTATATTCCGAAAAATTCAAGTACACCTTTATTTCTACTGTTTCTTTATCTTTTTATTCTTTCTCTCTCTCTATCTTTCTCTTGTCTTCATCGTCGACGATTCCTGAAGGTTTTGATAGAGATAATTTATTTTAGATGTGTAGTGCACTCAGTAAGCAAATGTTCTTTTCTCGGTCCCACGCGCTTGTTACTGAGCACTTATGTAATAATTCTTGCCTCAGGATTGGGATAGAATGCTTGCTGTGTCAGCCATGTTAGATTTTCTTGTCTACGTGTGCATTAGTGTAATCTGACTGGGCCAGTCATACCTGACTGCTCAAGCTCACGAGCATAGTGTACTACTTGTATGCCAACAAAGCGCTCAGGGAAAAAGCAGCGGGCTTGTGCTGACGGGTACTCAGCCAACTACATTACACCTAGGTGGCTGCAGACTCGTGAAGCATCCCATGGCGGAGCCTTTAAGGTGATAGCTTAGATGATAGCCTAGATGCCTCATCAAGCACGAACAGTGACCGTTGGCGTCAACACGAAGTGATACAAGAAAGCATAATCGTGTAATGAATCCATCATGAAGAATATTTGACGTCATTACATGGTCAATACAGTCGGTTGGGAAGAAAACGATATAATAAAATCTGGAACGTTACGTCCCCAAACCACCGTATGATTATGAGAGACGCCGTAGTGGAGGGCTCCGGAAACTTTGACCACCTGGGGTTCTTTAACGGGCTTTGACATAGCACCCTAAACAGGCCTCTATCACATAACCTCCGTCGAAATGCGACCTCCGCAACCGGAATCAAACCCGTTACCTTCGAGTCAGCAGCCGAGCATTATAACCACTGTTTCACCGAGGTGGACGAAAAGAAAAAAAATAATAAATTTTGCCTTCGTGTCGTCTTAGGCAAATGTGTAAAAGACCAAGGAGCTTTTACAGTATATGCTGTCGTGTAGTGAAAACAACATTTGTTGCTCATAATGAAATAAATAAATAAGTGCACCTATTACATATCAATATATACTCGTACGGCCGCAATGATGATGGCCAGGGAGCTGTTCTGTGAAGTTTTATTGAAGACGTTTGGAGCATTTGTAGGCGTAAACATACACGGCATCAAGCGCATATCGCACGGCAAGAAGAGAACATACTCAGGCGTGGCAGCATTATTTTGTTTTAACCTTCAGCCTTAGTGTCTGATGTCGGCTAAGCTTACCACCTTGTACGTCATATATTATTCCCAGTAATAAAAAATGTAATAAATCAGGTAGTCATTGCCTCCTTACAAGCATTTTCTGCTTTCTCACTGCCACTTTGCAAGTTGCTTGCGCTTTGAGAAGCCAGATCTGGTTAACATGTTCAGTGCGATTACTCACAGCTTCCGCAAAGAATTCGCCGACGTGGCCATATTTGCGCACTTTCCAGGCTCCTTGGTGTTGGCGCGTGCTTATCTGCTGACGGTTTCCCGGGTGATAACATCCCACGCAGGCATTCCTCGCGTGGACCTTGTCATCTAAGCAGAATATGATTCGTTCAATGTTTCCTTTTCTTCTTGACGGCATTGCGCTAAAGTACTTGGACCCTATAGGGGCGCTTTACGTGGATAGGTGCTGATTGATAGACATGTGGAGTGCAACTTCCCAAAACCCCCATATGATTATGAGAAACGCCGTAGTGGGGGGTCCGGAAATTTAGACCACCTGAGGTTCTTTAACATGCACCCAAATCTGAGCACAGGGGTCTACAACATTTTCGCTCCCATCGGAAATGCAGCCGCCGCAGCCAGAATTCGATCCCGCGACTTGCTGGTCAGCTGCTGAGTACCTTAGCCACTAAACCACCACGGTGGGGCTCACGCAGATCAATCTCAAAAGTATGTATTTAGTTACAATCTTTCGCTAATCTTACGTGTTCTGTAAATTATGGGCTTGGATGGACAGTTAATTTGTAGGAAAAACCTTTGCATGTCGAGAATTGAGAATCAAAGAACTCCCTACAGAAGGCATGTACCAACATAACGTGTGGTATTGATAGCGCATTTATATTATTGATAGTTTGTTGCTACTTTTGGCTGTAGAGCAACTTCAAGTTAATTCGGTCGATGCTACCCTCGGTGAATTTAATCACATTTGGCTACATCTGCTCCAAGTATGCGCAAATTAAACGAGTGAATGCCCACAAGAGGACAAAAAGAACGCTAGTGAATTTTTGATTAAACAGGGTGTGCTATGCAGCCAAATGAAAGACAAACGAAACAAGTAAAGAATGAGATGGCTATGATTTGTGCCGGAATGTGGCCTCAAAAATTTCCAGTAGAACGTGCCGATGCATTGATTTCTCTATACACTCCTTAGAGAAACTGCCCCCCTCCCTCCCTCCCTCTCTTCCAACTATGTTTTTTTTTTGAAAAAGGCATCCAATTAATTAGTAACGAGCTTTCCTTCCTTCAATGGGCAGTTTTGTACAGACATAAGAAGAAGATATGTGATACTAATTATCTTACAGTATGACAAGCAAAATTAATAAGCGTGTTCAAAATGAACTGAAACTACGACGCACCAAACAAAAATCATCATACATGCAGACACATGCGGTGTAGCACTGATGATAGTAAAAACTTAGTTACAAGCAAAAGTAAAGGAGGCGATTCATATTTGCTTGCAGCTCTCTTGCCTTATATTAAAGCGAGTTTCACTTCCTCTGCTAGAGTCAAAGCCTTAGCAGCACATTGGGCACGTGAAAAACGCTTTAATCTTTCTTTCAATGTGTGCAAACGGAGTCACGCTCGTCAAGAGTGGTGGAGCGCATGGCTGTGGCCGCTGTTGCCCGTAGCTGCTACCTCACTAAAGCCACAACCTTCTTTCGGACTTCAATTATAGCACAATAATGTTGCATGCAGTACGGCTGTGTTGGTAATCATTACGGTGTAGGTATTGCCACGTTTCTGCGCAAAAACAGCAGCCGGAGAGGTTGGATCTGTGTTTTAGGCAAGTGTGCGTAGCTCCGTCTGTACCGCTCTTTCCAACGGAAGTCGTGATACTGAACTGTGCGGCAGGGCTAGGACACTCGCACTGGGTACTGAAAAATACTCGGGGAGAAAAAAGAAAGAAAAGAAAATAAGGTAATGCTTATCCCACACAAACATGTGTTACGAGTACCCTTGGTCTTTGCTGGCGTGTCGAAACGTGAGCTACGGTGTGTGCTCACGAACGAGAGAGCTGCAGCCGCCGCGCCCCGCCAAACCTCGTCTTATGAAGGCTATTTTAGCCCCGTCGCGAGCGCATCGTGAGACGAGAAAGCAGCGTGAGTTCGTGCGGGCTGCTAGCACTGACAAACACGAACGCATACACGCAGCTCACACGCACGCACGCGCGTAATAACTAAAATACACGTTCGCGGAAAGACAGTGCAAGGCTTTCGAAAGATTAGCGCGTGCGCAGTGACGTATCGGCTGCTCGGTCGAGAAAGCACACACACGTTGTAGACACTGACGCACACTTTTCTGATGTCGTGCCCGCTCCGTCATCCTACGCAACGATCGCGCCGGCGCTGCCAACGAGACCGGTGAGCTTTCTGTCACCTTTCGTTCTTTCCCCCCACCTTCGACCGCGCTGCCGAGTCGACACGCGCCCCCACGCGTGACGTTGGCGCGCTTCGCGTGATGAAATAGAAAAAAAAGTAAGAAAAATACGATAACGTATAGATAGAGGTGCTGGGCTGGGCTCGCTCACAAACGAGCCAGCCCACTGTTGCGGGGCCGCGCCGGCAGCGGTACGTGGTCCGAGAGTGAGTGTTCGCGCACCGGCCGGCTTCCGAACCACTCGCCGCTGATACGTTCGGAGTTCAAGCGCCTGACCGGATATCTTCAAGCTCCGGACATTCCGTGTTCGTCGTACAGCCTGTCAGCGCTTTTCTGCGTAGGCCCTCATGACCACGTAAACTGCTTTACGATTGATCGTCGCTATTGTGCCGCGGTTTCATCGCCAGCTCGTCACTGCATTCGTTCAATGAAAGGGGATGTAGACGTGCTTCAGTGCGTTTCAAGAATCGATTCGTCGAGCACGTTCGGACGCCCCCGTTTTGAGGTCACGAGTGCAAGAGTTTCATTTTTGTGAAGTGGCTCACATACTGATGTTCAAGTGGGTCGTGTAAGATTGCAAACTTTCAAAAGCATCTTGAAACAGGTGTTAACTCGCGCTTAGGAAGTAACTCTCTGTCGTCAAGCACATATCTCGGTGTGAAAGGACGGAGGAGGACACAACTAAGGTAAGCCAGACGTTCTTGTTTTGCTTTTAGGGTTCAATTTTATGTCGCTGTATCTTTCGCTACATTGCTTACTTCACCTGTACAGAAAAGGAAGCGTTTGTCGAAGCATTCCACGCGCAGTGTATGCCACAATTTTCATTAACAAGTTAGATGCCAGTAAAACGATTCGTCTAAGCGTGAACGAATTCTCGCTTAGAATGTCGTTCACGCTTAGAAGGCAAAGCGCGAACGTCATTCAAGTTGTTTTGTTTTTCTCTACACATGGCTTGTGCCCAATGGAGGAGATTGGCCGATTATAAGGTGAATTCCCCAATACTTTCTGCATTGCTTAATTCCAATAAATGCTACTTAGTTAATTATGATATGAAGTACCAATCCTGAACTAGAAGATATGTAGTGAGCCAACAATTTAGCATTCAAGTTTGGCATTGCCTTCCTTTCTTTATTCTTTCATTTCTTTCTTAATGTTACTACAGCAGCACAAACTGATAGTACGTCCCTTGCGCCACACCTCAAGTTCACCACCAAATGGGTGATTCTAAAAAAAAAAAAACCCCCAAGGGCATGAAATGGTTGTATAATCCCCCAAACTGTCTTTCAGCCAATCGTCTCAAGATTCTAACTTCATGGGGGTATGAGCCGAGGAAGTGAACCAAACGCTCGTGGCCAGGGCCATCACTCTTAAATGTAGAACATTAAAGTCACCTTAGTTTCCTTCTTTATTATCGCACTTTTTTTTACTATTTTTATGACGACGGTAAAATTGCCCAACGCAATCTTCCATTTACTAGTATATACGACGAAGGTAACAAGTTCAAATGGACGATTGCAATACGCTCGATTTTCTCAGTTCTTTAATTTTGTTTCAGGCCCGCGTGATTCGTTATATTTGGCGTTAAATTTATTCCAACAAATATTCGCTACGGTTAGGCTATTTCAATTTGATGATTAATTTTTGATGGCATTTCGTTCATTCTGTCACCTTAAAATATTCGTTTGTTTTCTTTTTTCTATTTGGAAGTCATTTAATGTCTTCACGAACTTTATTAGTGTTGAGCTGCATATCACGTGTCTATCAAATCATACAAGCACAACTCACGGATTCAAACATGAGTCGCATTTACCGACCCGTATGCGCAACTGCTTATAAAACCATTCTTGGAAACATTCCGTTTTCCCGTCTACAATGTGCGCGCCAGAATGTTTCCGATAATGTCATCAAACCAACTCGTCCAACTTGCCATACTATGTCAATAGCCCCGCCGCGGTGGTCTAGTAGCTAAGGTACTCGGCTGCTGACCCACAGGTCGCAGGATCGAATCCTGTCTGCGGCGGCTGCATTTCCGATAAAGGCGAAAATGCTGTAGGCGCGTGTGCTCAGATTTGGGCGCACGTTAAAGAACCCCAGGTGGTCGAAATTTCCAGAACCCTCCACTATACGGCGTCTCTCATAATCATATGGTGGTTTTGGGACGTTAAACCCCACATATCAATAAAGTCACTCTGTCAATATAATCGGTTCATGTCATTGCGTGATATGACCGTAACTGAAAGCCATGGAAACAGTAGTGTCTGTGAATACTTAGCCCTATATTGCCCTGTTTTAATCTATGACGTAAATGTTTGTTTATTGTGCAATGTGTGCACTGGAATCAGACATGTGGCAAGCCGTATACCGTTGTTTTGGTCCACGTGAAGCTGCAGATGGAAGCTTTACACTAACATCTGATAACTAATAGGGAAATCGAATTTTTCTCAGAGTTTTCTGATACGCCCAAGAATGCGTATGCCTAGTTAAAGGTTGTATTATTGTCTGGCACGATTCTTCACGCGTGCATTAATTACAGCGTGGCACTGCAAGTGCTTGTATAAATAAAAATCTTGAATTAGATGCAAGGGTTGTCACTTCACTGGGGTGACGGACAGGGAACGCATTTACCGCGGTATCGGGGTCTCACAGGTGCTTGAGCGGAAGTGCTCAGTTATCAGTCGAGTGCTGCCGAAGCACGGCTGACGCAGAGCCCTTTGAACGAAGGTCGTTAAACTATCTAGCCAGTCGGTTCACTCCGATTGCGCGATGAATCTTAGTTCGAGTGAGTCTTGTTGACGAAAATATTCGCAAGTCTATGTCTGAGGTGTGTGGCAGTTTGGGCTAGTTGGTATGACAATACGATAGTTATAGCACGAGAATAGAACGACGACAGTGTCCTTCTTGTTTCTTTGTCGTCGTTCTGTTCTCGCGCCATAACTATCGTCTAAGTCTGAGTGAGACCGGTTGCGAAAAATGCTCGTGAGTACGATTCCGAGTGACTCCGGTTGACGAAAATGTTCGTGAGCGTCAGGCCGAGAGATTCCTTAGTGAAAAAAAAAAATATTGAGTGGGTCTGGGTGGGATCAATTTATTTTGCCGGCCTATGGCTAGGTGATTTGATACAAGGTGGGTGTCATTTCTGCCATGCAAATAAGAAATAAAATAAATTTCAATAATGCGCCTTTCCACTTTCCAGATCTAGGTGCTACATGGCCGAAGGGGCAGGTTCCAAACCTGGCGTAAAACAGTAACCTAAATGAAATACCATGCAAAAAAGAGTGGGGAATATACGAACATATGTTGCGGTATTCTACTGTGAAAATGTGAGTGCCAAGAAATCCACTTTGCGGAAACTGTCACCGACGAAAAACAGACTGTCATGAAAAGGTGAACAGTGTTCATGAAGCTTTTTCCCCCGTTTCTAACCTACTGCCTTAGCGGTTTAGTGCCACGCAAAGAAATTACTGAATTAAAAGCGAAGAAAAGAACCCAGTGGCTTATGTTGGGTTTTTATAAATCTGTGATTTATTAACACGGCCACTTTCTGCATTGCTTAAATAGCGCTAATGAACGTTCAATAATGTCATAAGTGATTGCATAGTAAGCTGGCCACTGTGCTCGTGCAGTGGTTGCGGTACTTGGCCGCTGGCCTGAAAGACGTGGGTTCGATTCCGTTGGTGGTGGTCACATTTCGATGGAGGCAAAATTCTAGACTCTTGTACTGTGCGATGTCAGTGCACCTTAAAGAATCCCAAGTGGTCGCCTCATAATAATATCATGGTTTTGGCACGTAAACTCCAGGAATTATTACTAATAGTTGTTTAGCAAGCTTACATTACCTGTATAAGCTGGACTCGGGTGCGAATTTCGATACAAGTTTATCGCTTTATTCACCCGATTCTTGGTCATACTTGAAGGGTGACATATGTGGGAACGATTTGTGACAGTCCACCGTAGCGAGATACTAATGAGTGTTGGGGTTATACGTCCAGAAACCACAATTTAATTATGAAAGATCACGCATATAGGGGAGGGTTCCGGAAACTTAGAGCACCTGGGGCTTTCTCAAGTGTACTTAAATCTAAGCACACGGCCTCTATGACATGCCTAGTGCGCTTCAGTTTTCACTGAATAAGTAGCGCCACTCTGCGGCGCGGCGAGCTGCTAATCAGTCGCGACGGCGAGTGGCTGCATAGGCGGGAAAATAGCAGTTAGAAGGGATCAAGCTAATTTCGCGGTCGTACATGAGTGTCGCGTGTATGGCTGTGATAACATCTGCAGCAACGTTGCTGGCAAGCTACCGGTCAGCTGTCAAAAAAAAAAAAATCGGCAGATCCCACGTACCTGATAATCGACGTAATGCGAAGCATGCGGAGGAAAGGTGGCCGTGTTGCATTTTTTTTTATTGAGCGCCACGTCATGAAATAACGCTAAATATATGCACAAATGTTGCATGCTGCAGACACATGTTGAAGAGTTGCAGATGCTTATATAACCAGTCGTTTGCACTTGCGCAACGATGCCAACTGTAACATGCGTATTAGCAACACCAGAAGCTGATGTAAAGCGCTGATGCTCGGCAGGATGCTGGCCCTGGACACTGTTACATAAATGAAGCTCAGCGCATGGCGACCAACCACAATTGACGTTAACCCGACGTGACGGCTTTATCAAACGAGTACATATGTAATGTTTATAAAATTGGGTAGGCAGCACTGCAAACGCTACTGACGTTTCACAAAGATTAGCGTCTGTTTGAAAGGCAGCTCCGACGCATGACGATAGTTATAGCGCGAGAACAAAACGACGACACAGAGACAAGAAGGACACGAAAGACACGAGCGCTAACATGCCATACCAACTAGCCCAAGCTCCCACACTTCTATGCAGCTCCGAGACCTGCGCGTAGCTTTGTGGTAAAATGCTTCATTGCCACGCAGCATACTTTCGATTCCTGCTGGGACCCTGACATATTACTATTTGCGTTCGTCGGGTCGACGCTACCGATGTCGGATATATCTTAATGCTCGCTCGTTAAAATTGCCCATGTGTGTTCTCGTTGTTTCAGGGCACATACTAAAGGTCAGTCACCTGTGGCACATATCCGCATACCAGCGGCACATACGCGACCGTGGGTATGTGCCACTGTCTGGCGAGAAGTGTTTGATGGCGTACGCGACGAGAATGTGGCATTATTCATGTCTTGACCAGCGCGTTATATTCGCCAAACCATCTTACCCTCCCATGCTAATTTTGGTTCACGCCAAATTAGGGGGGGGGGGGGGGGGACTACGAGAGCACCCAAACGTAAGCGGCTAGATAGATAGATAGATAGATAGATAGATAGATAGATAGATAGATAGATAGATAGATAGATAGATAGATAGATAGATGATAGATAGATAGATAGATAGATAGATAGATAGATAGATAGATAGATAGATAGATAGATAGATAGATAGATAGATAGATAGATAGATAGATAGATAGATAGATAGATAGATAGATAGATAGATAGATAGATAGATAGATAGATAGATAGATAGATAGATAGATAGATAGATAGATAGATAGATAGATAGATAGATAGATAGATAGATAGATAGATAGATAGATAGATAGATAGATAGATAGATAGATAGATAGATAGATAGATAGATAGATAGATAGATAGATAGATAGATAGATA